TTTTTTTTCTTATTTTTAAGTTTATTTACTTAATTAAATTTTCTTTTTTTTTTTTTTTTAAACATAAAAGTCGAGGACGACAAAAAAAAATTTAATAATGATAATAATAATGATAATGATAATGATAATAACGATAAAAAAGAAAAAAATTTATCGGATTTTTTTTTGCATTTTCTCCATTTTTTTTTATTTTTTTTTCGAAAGACTAAATAAATTTTAAATAAATAAATAAAAGTTAACTAAAACTAATAAACTAATTAGTCTATAAGATTACTAAATTTATTATTATCATTATTATTATTATTATTTTTAATTAAAAATCGTATTAAAAAAAAAAACGAAAAAAGAAAGAAAAAAAATTTTTTTTTTAAATGGATTTTACTTTAAAGCGCCATGAAAAATCGAATTTTTTTTTTTAGTTTTTTAATTTCAAATAAAAAATGGCGTCGGGTTATCACGTGAGCGAGAGAGATTAAGTATTAATGAAATTACAATAAATAATTATGAGAATTTTAAATGATGTTAGATGAGAGAGAAATAATGATGATGTAACTCTGAAAAAGAATTTCGGTTAGAAGAACGAAAAAAAAAATTTTTTTTTAAAAAGGGGAGACCACAAGAGAGAAAAAGGAGGGAATAGGAGGAGGAAACAGGAGGAAAAGGATGGGGGGAGGGAAAAAAAAGATTTTTGTAAATTTTTTTGGTCTGACCCTGTTTTTTTTCAAGTGATTTATTATTTTCTTTTTTTTTCTTTTTTAAAAAAACGCAAAATTTTACAATATATTAAATCTAGTATAATTAAAAGTTAAACGTTGAATTTAATTACGTTAAAATTATTATTTTTTTTTTTTTAAAAAAAAGCGTGGGTAAATTCAAATTAATTTCACGTAATAAAACTTATCGGAAAATTATGTAAAAAAAAAAAAAAAGAAAAAAGAAAAAGAAAAATTGTCGAGAACGTATGGTAAGTAAAACCGTAGTAAATCTTTTTTTAGAAGGCGGTAGTGGTGGTGGTGGTGATGGTGGTTGGAATGAGAAAGAATCTAATGCTATGTTGTTGTCATGGTTTTTCTTCTTCCTTTTCTTCTTCTTCCCCCCATTTTTTTTTTTTAATTTTCTCTCTCTCACTCTCACTTTCTCTCTCTTTTTTATTTTGCCTAACAAATTGTAATAACATCTTATTGGTAAATTATTAAAAAAAAATAATAAAATAAATAAAAAAATTTTTTTAATTAAAAATCCGATAGTTAATAAGAGTTAAGAACCAAATATATTTTTTTCTCTCTCTTTCACTTTTTTTTTATGTATTAAAAAAAAATTTTTTATACGTGTCAGCAGTTAAATAATGCCGCAAAACCTTTTCGAGTTATAATTTACCCTCGAATACAAAAAAAAAAAAAAAATTTTTTTTTATTTAAAAACTTTTTCTTAAGTAATTGTGTTTGTCATTTTTTTTTTCGCAAGTAAAAATTAAACGAAAGGAAAATTATTATTATTATTTTATTAATTTTTTACGGCGGAATTAATAAATAAATAAAAAAAAAAAATCACTTTTTACATTTTATTCCTACGTCCTTTAAACGAGTAATGAGTTGTAGTTTTTACATTTAAAATTTTTAATTTGTTTACACACGTGATGTCATATCCTTTATTTACAAGACAAACGTTTCGCGAACGAATTTAATAAGGAACTCTCACGCCATTATTTAGCATATGTTTAAATTATATTTATTTACAATTCGAGCAAAAAAAAAAATTTATTTTTACAAATTCGCAAACGTGAACGAACGATTTTTTTTCCCTTTTTTTTTCTTTTCTTTTTTTTATGTTTGTTCGCTTGTTTGTTTGTTTGTTTGGTTTTTTTTATTTTTATTCGGTTGTTTTTTCCAGATTATTTACGGAGACGAGAGAGAAGAGAAGGGGAAGGTTTTTTTTTGCTCCTTTTTTTTTTTTTAAATAAATTTTAAACGAATGTAATTTATCTCACGTTAAATTGACACATTTTTTTTTAAACAGAAAACAAATCGAAATTTTAGTTTTCCAATTTCTTTTTACCAAAAAAAAAAAAAAATGGTGGGTTTGTTTGATTACGTGGCACCATCGGAAATTTGAAATTAAGCGTGAGAGAAAAAATTTTTATAATGGATAATAATTTATTAACGGAAAAAAAAAAAATAGTTATAATAATAAAATGTCGCAGCATAGTTTCGACTTGAATTTTTTTTTTTTTTATAAATGAATCAAAATTTAAATATTAAAACGTTCAGAAAAGAAAGAATGAGTGTTATCGATAAATATAACTCGTGAGTTTCGAGAAAAAAGTACGGGTGCGAACATGACGTGAATACATAGTTTTAAATTTATGATAAAAAAAAAATAAATAAATAAATAAATATTGAATGACAGAAATAAGCGTAAATAATATAAATCGTATTTAACGGTGAATTTACCTTCGTAAAACTCTCAACTAAAGTAAAAAAAAAATATTTTAAGGATCGTAACAGTTACTACACCTTTATTCATTTCTCATCCCTTTTTAAATTTCACCCTCTTAAATTTAAACCATCTCTCTCTCTCTGATATTTTTTATTTCTATTTTTTGTGTGCGTGTGTGAGAAACGAAACGTAAGGTATTAAAAAAAAGGAAAGAAAAGGAAAGTAAAGAAAGAAAAAAAACCGGTAAAAATTTATTTACGTAGAAAATTTTCTAAAGGAAAAGTTAAGCTTGCAAGTTATGAAGAACTCAATTTAGTCAAAAAAAAAAAAAAAAAAAAAAAAAAAAAAAGGAAATTTGAATTGTATATTTCTCCTTTAAAAATCGACGTTTTTGTGGTTCATTGAGCCTAAAAATCTGAGAATGAAAAAAAAAGAAAAAAAAAAGAGTTATGGCGCCAAATGCTAAGTCAAATATTAGAAAATAAAATAAAAAAGAGAGAAAGTGTATGAAAAAGAAAGAGAGATATATGGGGGGAGGGGAGTAAAGGGAGAAGTGATAAGTAAGAGTAGGAAAGAAAATATTTTATAAAATTCTACTCTTTATTGGCAAATATATGTGTATATATATATATATATATATATATATATATATATATATATATATATATATATATATATATATATATAAAATAGGGAACCTTTTCTATTTTGTTTTGAAATAGAGAAACAAAATCACTTTTCCTTTTTTTTTATTTCCTTTTTTTTTTTTTTAAATCATTTTTACTAAGAGCTTTTTTTGACAAATAAGCGAATTTAATGACTTACCATTTTAAAATTTTATTATACTACTTTTTCTCTTTTTAAATCTGTTTTCAAAAAATTTTTAAATTTACTCTTTGATTCTTCCGCAACCCCCCCCCGCCTCCCGCCCCCGCTTCCCTCTCTCATCATCGCTCACGCACGCACGTTCCCTTTTTAAAAATTTTATTTTACGTTTTTAATTGTAGATTCGGCGTTAAGTTAAGATATAAACAAAAAACGAGTAATAAAACAAATCATTCCAAAAGTTTTCGATGTAAAAATAAAGTTTGTTGTCGACGACAACGACGACGACGACGATGACGACGATGGCGATGACGTCAAAAAATATTTTTTTTGATTGATTAAATATTTCATTTTTTTTTTTTGCCTTCAACTCCATTTTACACCCCTCCCCCCCGTCGAAAAAAAAAAAATTAGTTAAAGTTTTAGAAAGAAAAAAAAATGGTACTTTTGTCCTCTTCTCTCTTTCTTCCTCCTTCGTACTACCCCCCCCCCTAGAAATCCTTTTTGTAATCATCATCTCCCTACCTTTTTTTTTTTCTTTTTTTGTTCATCCTTTTGTCAAAAACTTTTTCCCAATTTTGAAATTCAAACAATGAAATAAAAAATCTTTTTATTTCCAAAAAGGAGAAGAAAAACGTTAAATCCGATATTAATTTCTTTACAAATTTTTAATAATAATAATGAAAAAAAAGACGTGGTTTTAGATTTTTAGTCCCGAAAAGTTTTTTTTTTTTTTGTTACGTGAATAATCGATAAAATCTTTTTTTTTCGTTCGTCATTTTTATTTAAAGGATAATAATAATAATAATAATAATAATAATAATAGTTTTGTCGTCGTAAATGAATTTTAAAATTTTGTAATTTTCCTTCGAGTATTATCATTATCATCATTATTATTATTATTATTATCATTCGAACTTAATTATTTACCGCCTTTGAATGGTAATTTTTGTTATTTTTTTTATTTTTAATTTTCTTGTTTCTCTTCACAAACATTTTTTTTGTCGTCGTCTCGTCATCGTCACCATCATTACCATCATCATCATCATCATCACCATCATCATTATTATCATCATCATCATTGTTTAATTCATCCTGTGGGTAAAAGCACCATTTTATCCACCTTTATGTTACAAAAACTGTTTACCGTTCGTTTGTCTACTTTTTTCTTCCTCTCTCTCTCTGTCTCTCTTCATCTTTATTGTTTTAAATTATACAGTAATAATTGCATTTCTTTTTTTTCTTTTTTTTTTTCATTTTGTCATCTTTCACTTTGTTCTTTTACATTTTCACCTTCCTTCTCCCTCCCTCCCGTCACCCTTTTCCCCCTTTTCTTTGTCGTCTCGTTTAACCTTTTTTGCGAGGAGAAAAAAAAAACAATATCGTCTGCTTCTTTAATTACATTTTCCAACGTCATATTCTCGTCGTACATTTTTTTTTTTTTTTTTCGAAAGACAAAATACATTATTATCATTATTATTATTACGTTTAAATTTACTTTTTTTTCCGTAAAAAAAATTTATTTACAGTTGAACAAATTTTTTTTTTTTCCACGACGATGATAATTAATAAAACGTGTGGAAAGGTAATGGGGGGGGGGAGGAAAGGGGAGATAAAAATTTCTTTTAACTTTCAAACAAGTTTTAAGGTCAAAAGTTTTCATTCATTCATTCAATCAACTTCATAATAATAATAATAATTAATTTTATCATCATCAACACCTTTCCCCCACTTATTTGTCAATCAAAATTTAATTTACCTTTAATAAAAAAAAAAAAAAAAAAATTGTAATAAACTTACTTTGGGTGATTAAATTAATGAATTGAACGACTGCACATCCCTCTTCAACTTCAATATATGTTATCTCGCATTTATAAAGAGCTTCATCGGTGACGTGAAGAGGTTTTATTCTGAGGCTCGTCCTTGTCGCATTATGGTCGTATATGAGCTCAGTTCTGGAAAATTTCATTTTTCATTATGTTAATAAACATAAACTATCGAAAATAAAATAGAAAAATTACATTTATTACACGATATAAATCGATATAAACAAAATAATAATGATAATAATAATAGAGTTTTATTGCTTTAAAGTTGTGATATGAGAGTGATAAGTGTAAATATATATGTGATTATTTTTAACACGTGAGAAAACTACGATAAACTCCTCTCTAAACGAAAAAGAAAAACAATTTAAAGGAAAAAAAAAACTCGGGGGGTTAGAAAATGTCAGGAAAACACGAAAGATGAAGGGAGGAAGGAGAGAGAAAAAAAGAAAATTGTGAAAAGTTATATACGAATATATATAGGAGGAGAACGAAAACGAGAATAATTTAATTTTTTTTTTTTTTTTTTTAAATTTTCCGGTATCACTTTAATTAAAGTTAGGTAGGTGGTGGTAAGTTTGTTACGAAAACTTTTTTCTTTTTCTACCCTAAAATCAAAAAGAGGGATTAAAACCGATATAAAATAAGATTTTTTTAAAAAAAAGAAATAAAAAAAATAGAAACGTTCGTAGTAGTAGTAGTTGTTGTTTAACAAAGTGTGATAAAGACAGAGAGAGAGAGAGAGAGGGAGAGAGATGGGAAGGAAAGGAAAGGAATATGAAGGGGAAAAAAATAAAATAAAATGTTTTCTTTTTTTTTTTTAAATATCGATAAATTTTCTTTTTTTTTTTTTCAATTAACTTCGTGTACACGCGCACATGTACGCACACACGCACACACGCACACCCATGATATATTTTGTATTAAAAAAAAAATGAAATAATAGTTTATAATTCGATTTTTTTGTTCTCGAAGGAATTATATTACAAGTATAAAACAAAAAAAACGGTCCATCTTTCAATCTTCTTGTTGTTTTTTTTTTTTTTTTTTCGAGAGAGAGAGAGGGTAAATATAATGAACGTCAACATAACATAACATAAATCATGTTCGGTTTAATGTTAAGAATTCGATGATTCCTCATTTCCTTTCGTTGAATCCGCACCACGTGAATGAATAAACTTTCTTTTGAAAAAATGAAAGAGAGTAAAAAATAAATTTAATTAATTTTATTTATTAAATTAATAATTAATTAATTTTAAATAAAACTATTATTATTATTATTATTATTATTATTACTAAAAAAGCGATAATAATAATAATAATGATAAAGAAATCGATGATATAAAAAAAAAAATAATAATAATTTTCTAAAATGATTTTATCACGTATGAAAATTACAACACATGACGAAACTGTTTTCGAAATTTTTTTTTTTTTAACGTTAACCTTTTAACCTTTTCCCTCGGATCAAATAATTTTTAGAAAAGTTAAAAATAATAATATTAATAACAATGATAGGAAAAAAAAATTGGAGGGAGGAGGAGGGGAATGGGAGGTGTTAAATCTTATCATTTTTCGATTTCGAATGATTATTTTTTAAAAATATTGGTTATGACTTTTCAAAAATTTTTCTGATTTTTATTCTTTCTTCTTCCACGTCTTTTTTTTTTACGTGCTTTCGAAAAGCGTGTTATTTTGTTGCGTATAATAATTAGTTTGGGGAGATAGAAAGAGTGAGAGAAAGAGAGATAGAAAAAAAAAAGGATAAAAAAATTCGATATTACAAAAAAAAAAAAAAATTTTTTTTTCCCTTTGAAAGTTCGAGTTAAAAAAAAAAAAGGAAAAATATATATATAAAAAAAGGTTTAATTATTTTTCTTTATTGAATTCCTTTTTTTTTTTTTTTTTTTGAAAACGAATTTAAAAAGGTATGCCTAAGGCTCGATGATAAAAAAGGGCTTAATTTTCAAAGGTTCAATTTTTCGGGATGCGTGCTTATAGAGTCCGTTTAAATGTTGACCGCAAGCCATCGGGTTAAGAACAACAGCAACAACAACAACGACGACCATTTCCTTTGTTTCTAATGATAAGTGCTTTTTCTTTTTTTTTTTGCGGGGGGAGGGAAGTAGGGAGTGAGAGAAAATAATATTTTAAAAGTAAGAGAATACGAAAAAAAAAAAAAGGAAAATTTTAACGGGTAATAGGAAACTGAGAAAATCCTTTGTGCTTACAACCCTCAAAGTATTTATTAAAATGAAACATATTATTTATAATAAAAAAAAAAAATTCAAGTGGAAACGAACCGAAAAGGCATTTTCCATTTTTTTATTGTTTTTAAAATCCGTCAAATTTTTCCTTTTTTCCTTTTTTTTAAATATTTATTTCATTTAAAAAGTTCAAAAACTATTTTGACCCGTTTTAAAAACGACCGGTCACCTTTTAAACTTTTTTAATATGACCGCATTGTTTCTTTTCACTTAACTTTTCTTTTATCCCCCTCCTCTCCCTTTCCCTTCCTTCCCTTCCTCCTTCCTCCTCTCTCGTTCAAAATTTTTTTATTGATGATAATAATAAAAAAAGAAAGTTTTCATTTAGAAAGTTTATTTATTTATTTATTGTTTCAAATAATATAAGGAAAATTTATGAAACGTGTGACGTCACATTTGAAAAAAAAAATGATTTTAATACTTTTCTCTCGTACGTGTTATATATTTATCAAATCAATTACGTAATTTTTTTTATTTTTTGTAATGAAAAATATTATTATTAAATGCACTAAATAATTATTACGTAACACATCGGTAATAAAAATAAATAAATAAATTTTATTTTAAGGAGAAACATCAAAAGAATTTTTTCATTTCTTTTTTTTTTCTTTTTCTTTTTTTTTCTTCCGTTCATTTATTATTTGAACGTCGAACGTAGAATTTCGAACGGTTTACTCACACGTATGAAAATGTGATGATAAAATAATATTAATAATAATAATAATAATAATAATAATAATTATTATTATTATTATTATAATAATAATAATAATAATAATAATTACGTAATTTTTACAAAAAAAAAAGAAAAGAAAGATTTACGTAACAAAAAATAACGTATCGAAAATCAATTAGAAAAATACTAACCACATTCGCAAACGTTAATTCATTCATTCCTTCATTCATTCATTTATTCATTCACTGACTAAAAACGATAAGATTGAAAAAAATAATAATAATAATAAATTCAGTTTCTTTGCTTATAACAAAAAGTATAAAAAAATTTAATTCAAAAAAAAAAAAAATTCAATTTTGTTTAAATTCAATTTTTTCCTTGCATTAGGTACGAACGCATAATTTACCCACGCATAATGCGTATGCATAAACCCCACGCACACACGCACACGTACATTTTTTCGAGGTAAAAGCTTTTTAAAATTTTTATTATATTCGTTTAGCCAAAATAAAAAAATTTTCTTTTCTTTTCCTTTCGTTAAATTCGTTTCGTCGCAATTTTTTTTTTAATATAACCCTTTCCGTTATTTTTTATTAAATGTTATTATATAATTATAAAATCAATAATTTTATTAAATTGATCCTCCTCCTTATTTATTTACATATAATTGAATTAATTAAAAAAAAAAATGGCGACGTAAAAAAGTAAAAAAATTGAAATAATTTTTTTTTAATTTTACCTCGAATTAGTCTCAAGATTTAATTGAAAAACGGTTCGACGATGAATTTAAATTTTAAATCTTTTCGCCTTATGTGAAATTATTTTTCCAAAAATCATTATCGTCTGCTAATGTTATTATTATTATTATTACCACCATTTCTCTCTTTTTAAATTGTTGTCCCCTTTTTTTGTCGATCGTTTTTCGCTTTTATACACATATTTATTTTTTGTTGGTTATTCAAAATATTTACAATTAGGTTTTTAAGCGCGCGCGAAACAATCACCGTTTCTCTCTCTCTCTCTCTCTCTCTCACTCTCTCTTTCTAGAACAACAAATTTGCTGAATGAAGGGATTTTATCGTATCGATAGTAACTTTAACTCCAAATGATGCTGATCGTAACAATTTTAATTTTTTTAATCTCCTTTTCCCCTTCGAATCCAATTTTCCTCCGACTCCTTTATTGTTGTATAAAAAACCGATATTATACGCGATAATTATTATTATTATTATCATCATCATTGTGAATACATTTAAAAAACTAATGCGTAAAATAGCATAAAAAAATTTCATTTTGAACCGGAAATGCAATTTTTGTCAATTAATGAATCGCGTAATAAAAAGGTTTTCGATATAACTGATTGTTTCATTTCTTCTCCTCTCTTCCCTTCCTCTCCTCATGTTTATAATCGAATGGTAAAACGCGACCTTGAAATTTGATTTTTCATTCAGTTTTTTTAATAATAATAATAATAATAATAATAATAATAATAATAAAAATCATTGGCGACGAGGAAAATTAATAATAATAACAAAAAAAATCGTAACTAAAGATTATCATCATAAACAATCAGGAATTGTCGCGTAGTAAAAAAAAAACACAATAAAAATTTTATTATTATTATTATTATTACCACAAAACAAAAGCAAAAAACGGAATTAAGCTTATAATCTAAAAAAAAAAAACTAACACTCATTTAACATAATCTATAAATTATTATTATTTAAAAAAAAACAAAAAACATTAAAAATGTTTTCCGAGTGTAAAACAAAAAAAATAAAAATAAAAATGGCGGACGGAATGCATATAAGTATTTTTTTTTTAACACGGGGAGTTGGGGGGGTTTTATTTAAAAAAATTTTTTCTCTAGGATTTTAATATAACATTAAAACAAATTAAGCTCCCCGTTATATATGAATCGGTAATTTTCACAGAGAACTAAAATGTATACATAAAAATTTTTTAAAAATAAATGCAAACAAAAAAAAAATCGTGTGGGTGTTTTTTACGTAAGTGAAACATAAAGATTACAAAAAAAATATAATTTCCTTTTATTATTATCATTATCATTATTATTATTATTATTATTTAAATAAATTGTTTTTAAATTCCACCTTTTTTTTATATAAAAAAGAAAAAAGATTTTTTTTTTACCTTTTTAAACGATTTAATAATATAAAAAGTAATTAAAGTTATAATA